ATAAATCCGTGCCTCTTCCTGTAGAAGAGGTAAGAATGCAGTGGCTTCTATACAACTGAACAGAGGGAAAATAGATTACATGTGGTGTCCAGCATTTGAGTTTGAACAACCAGGCTGATTTGCCAGTTGCAGCATGAATAAACTGCTTTTGGACAGGTCAGTATAGAGTAGACACCAATACTGGACAATAAGCAGGCAAACTAGTACAGTAAGGTTAAAGGATTTACTTTCAAGGACTGCAGAAAGCACCAATCTCCTGACCCATCAAGTCAATTTGCTACAGCTGGCATCCAGTCTGTATAAGCACTTTCCTATGTAGCAAAGTAGCAGACCATTAATAAGGATTAATTTTTCTGTCATATGGGAACACTCTCAGGGTGAAGTGCAGTTAAAATTCTCAGTCCTGTCACATTGCAGCTTTCCAGCAAATCAGGAGTGAAGCTAACTTTCCCATGAAAGCAGCTGGGAGCTAAGGATGACAAGAAGGTAGAGAGATGCAGTTTCCACACCAAAAAGGGCAAAATTTTGTAATATCTAAGAAAGAGAGGCAGAGCAGGTACAGTGATGATAACTAGGTTCAGCTAACAGTCCACACTGCCAAACTTGGAGGGATGAAGCAGTCTGAGACAAAGTGAGATAAATGCATTTTAAAGTCAGTGTCAAGCAGGCTTTGCAATGACAGCAACACAGATTTAGCAAATGCCTGTGTGAGAGCTTCAGCTGAAAAGCTCCTCCTAGGTAAAGTGTTCCCCCAGGTATTGAAAGCAGCCCAATTCTCAGGAGGTGTTGGGCTCTGCACTCTGGGCTCAACACTGAACAAATCTTGACTTTCTGTGGTACTAAAGTTTCATCCGCATAGTGCAATGAAATGCTGTTCAGAGACATCTGTTCCTCATAAGTCAATTAGATTTGCTTCTCAGTCCAATGATTTTGGCACAGCCCTGCAGTGTGCTATGGAGGAATAAGCCCCTAGAAATCAGCGCCACAAGCAGATGAATCCAAATGGGCAGAGCTGTCTATTTATTATTCCTCATTATGGCCATACAAACTCAAGATGGTTTAATATTTTTCATGTAGCTTATAGCTTTGCTGAGTTCATTCAAAATGTGACATTTCTGACAGAGATTAAAGGGGCTATGGGTGCCCTCAGGTCATATATCAGCATGTATTATACGCTAATATATTCAGAATAGACAAATGCCACATCTTTCTTCAGAGCAGTGAATACATTTCATATTGTGCTACATTATTAACGCCATTAGAGTGCTTACTGTCCTGAATGGTCACCACAATACAGATGTTCTGAAATAGCTAGTTCACAGAAACCAATCTAGAAAGTTCCATCTTCCTTTATCATAACACACCTGATGTCCCTTTTGTATTTACTATACAGATAATCAAAATCCAGTCAATTCAGCCCTAAGAAAGAAGAATAAACTGAATAAGGGAAAAAATGATTTGTACACAGGTACAGGGGAAAAACCTGCCAAGTCTCTTTTACAGTTAAGTTAGCATTAATGTGTGGATGTGAATAAGATTAAATTATTAATAAATGATCAAAGCAACCACTGAAATGACATTATGGAAGTTTCCTTGGTCAAATTGCTACAGATTCCTTTTGTTTACTTCAGAAAAGACAGGAAAGAAAAAAGCAGACTGTAACAACAGTCTCTATCCCCTCCTGCAACTCAGGAGGAAGCAAGTGGGAAACTTGTTTAGAGCTTGCAAAGGAAGATGAAGGGACCTGTGGTACAGAAGGACACCTATTAAAGACTCTTGGTGAAGGAGAGGAGACTTTCTGCAGTACCTCACTGAAGCATTTAAAGGGCTGAACACTATAGCAGTGAGACCTTTGCCTGCTCATACACAGGAAAACAGTTGCAAGTAAACATTAACAGGCATTGTAATAAACCCTCAAGAGCAAATTTGCACAAACAAGGGGAAGGTATTCATACAACGTAAGTGCCTCAAATCTTGATCAGGTGGGCACATGTGTGTAAATTCATATTTGTTCATCATGCAGATATGATTATCAAGGTGGTTGCAGTGAAGAAGAGTTCAAATCTAGCAAAGAAGATTTGAACAAGCAGAGAAAGCATTCTCTGTACTTACAGAGAAGGGCAAAGAAAAGTGTAGTGCATGGCTAAACAGTAAGGAAGAGATAGTTAATGAAGAAGAAATCACAAACTATCCTATTTTCAGGATATGGTAGCCTAGAGATCAAATAAAGTGGTTTATTGCCAACTGTAATCAAAGTATTGTTGCAGCCACTGCAAATATGAATTACGCTTACAAGAAAGCAAACTAAAAAGAAATAGACTTGGCAAGGTATTCTAGATCCTTCATGTAAAGAAAACACACCAAATTATACTTTACCATCTTCTCCACAGCCATAAATGTCAAAAGTCTATTCTAAAACCAAATATCAAATATCTTAGCCAACGTGATACTTCATAAAGACAAGCCTTCAGGGAAAACCATGACAGCCAATACAACCAATACAGTTTGCAAATCAGAGGCCTTCATCAGAACTGATACCAGTGAAAATCTTGCTAGTTTAAGAGGGGTCTGAGTCTAGCCAGAATGAATAGGAAAGTTGATTTTGCCTCATTTTGATTCAACACATAGCAAAGTAGAATATGGACAGAGTAGATATCTTCCCGATTTGAGAAAGCGGTTTGGGTTAAAAGAGAGTTAATCTCCACAGCTGTGAATTGTCTCTAGTTTTAATGATCCAGCTCACAGTAAATTTATGCAAAATATTCTCCAGTGTTTCTGGAGAACACAAGTAACACCTGCTTCCAAGTTGACATTATCTCTCTCATAAGAAGTAGCAGCATACACAAAAAGCCACCTGCAACTTTTTTTTTTTTTTAATCACCCATAACATAGGAAAGTCAGATGTCAGACTTCATCCCTTCAAGGACTTGTTTATAAAATATCACCCTCAGGTTTTTTTGTTGTTGTTGTTTGTTTTGTTTTAAACAAAGAACTGCTCAGCAGCCACAGTGATGTTTCTTGCCTATAATCCAGCTCCCCGAATTCTAAATCATTACAGTTAGCCAAAATGACCCACAGTTTTCACCTGGGGACATGACTTTTCCTCTTTTAAATTTCCTAAGTTCCTGTCACATTCACATCATAAAAAGATGTCGAATGTTAACAATTAGACCTTAATTGTTCTGCAGTGATGGTCTCTAACTTTCAGTACTTTTTCCCCCCCCCGAAATATGAAAATAAAACAAAATGAAGCAACTCTATTTTCTATAGTTACAGAAGCCTCATTTTGAACCTTGGGAAGGTGATGGAACAGCTCGTTCCCAAAATCGTTTCCAGGCACAGGAGAGCAAAAATCTTTAGAAGTAGTCATCGTGGATCCACCAAGGGGAACTCACACCTTGATAAACCTCTGCAATGAAATCACCAACCCGATGTATGAGTGGGGACCAGAGGACATTGTCTCTCCAGACTTCTGCAAGGCCTTTGACGCCGTACCCCAAAAGATGCCCGTAGAGAAACTGTTGGAGCATGGGCTGGATGAGCAGACCGAGGTGAACCAAAAACTGACTGAACAGCCAGTCCCAGAGGGCAGCAGTCAGTGACACAGAAGTGCACACATTTGAGCAATCATACTCAAATCTCATCCTTTCAAGCTGTGTTTCTAATGTTACCAAATACAGAAAAGCAAGAATCTTTTAAATACTTTATCTCCCTTACGGTTTAGTTTTCTTTTACTCTGGCAAAATTTTTTGGTATAGTTCTTAGCTTGATTTTCATATACAGATATAGACAAAACCTTTTATTTTGTGGTAGAAACACATTTTAATTTTGGAAAGATCTGTAAGGATAAAAAGTTAATCTTTACTTCCTTACATATATAATGCTGTAACACAGTGGAAAACACTGCAATAACAGCAGAGCAGCAAAGTCACAGGCTGCAACAAGTGAGGACTTGCTCAAATACAACAGCCAGCACACAGAAACAAAGCAACTACTTACCCTGAGGCAGCCTCCAGCAGGCAGAAATTTTCAGTGATCCCCCTGCCTCCACCACCAACTCTTAAATGAGGTCTGGGAAGGGGTGGATCCTGGCTCCCCTCCCCCACCCTTCTGGTCACACAGGTGCATTGCATTACATGCAGCTGAGCTCCCCAGCTTTGGCCCTGCCTTCCCACCAGGTGCTCAATCACTGGTTCAAGCTTTGACTTGCATTTCCCCTACATCACCACATCATTTTAAAAAGAAAAACTTTAAACAGAAAAAAAAACCAAAAAAACTCTTTCTTTGTGAATACTACAGTTAGTGTAATCACATAAATGCATACAGTCATTGCTTTTGCAATCAAATGAGTAAAGGCCTGAAAGAGGAAGACCAAAAAAGTGAAGACATACTCCTATGTAATGAGCTAGGGAACAATAAAAGAATAAAAACAAAAATAATAATAAATTCATGATCTAATGAGAAGATCATGAAAGTAAAATAAAATTTTTACAAATACATGAATTCTATGACATCACAAAACTTATAAAATAAATGAAAACAGGAAGAATGTGACAGAAAATTACATTGGTAGTGGAGTCAGGAAAAAGAAAAAACTACGTTAGTTACTTGTTTTGTGTAGTAGAAAAGAGGACTGAATATTGCAGTTTCATGTATGCACCACCTACTAAGAATGCTTGACATTTAGTCAACTTGTGGTTGTTTTTTTTGTTTTTGTTTTGCTTTTAGGTACAGGTTGTTTCCAGATCTCCTGGGGCCAACTGTCATTAACTACTCTGGTATAAAAGAGGCTGACATAATTTCTAGTCTTAATCACAAAAGGTGGTAAATACTTTATACCTAATTCTCACAACGAATCTGCATGCATACATTATTGCCTGCAAGACAGGCACCTGTAAAGGACCATGACCGACTGAACTGAGATTTGTACATTTTATCATTGTCAGCTACTGAGCTCTTCGTATGTGAAAAAGTAACAAAGCAGATCATTGACTATTCGGATGATAGAAGAGACTGACAGAAGTCGTGGTAGAATGGTAAGAAGTTTAGAGTGCATGCATGCAGATGTTTATAATAGTCACTGTTTCATTATGCTTACTGCAGCAGGAAAGAAAAAAATAGCTAATATTGCGTTTGTTTTCTTTCAGAAAACTAAAGCTGTTGTGCTTTTTGCTTGTATCATCTTCATGGTTTTTCTTATTGTTGAAATCGGGTGTGCTCCAAAGGTAAACAGTGTTAAAGGTGTCTTTATTGTATAAGAGGGTTTGCTTCTTGTGAAATAACAGCCAGTTTCTTTCTATAACTTACAGGGTAAAACCATAGTGAGAAATTGGGGCCCACAATCAATTCTATATCTCAAAGGACGCTGTAAGTTATATTCAAAACCTGTTCTGTGGACAATGAAGCTATATGCTGATTTGGACTAAGAAGTTAAAAATTTGTTAATGGATTTTTTCAAATGTCACTGAAAATCAAAGCATGTTAAACAGATTGCTTATGGCATGACAGCTATGACAAATGAAATAATGCAGATCAATATCCTATATTGGGCAGTTGCCATAAGAAACTTCTTGTAAGCGTATTTGCATTATACATAAGTTGTTTTAGCAGATGTTTATGCTATCATATTTTACTCAGATATATATTCATTTTACAATGCCTCTCATGAACAAACCACACAGTACTAATTGCAGAATTAAAATATACTTAATTTTTGTGGTAATTTGATGGCATTGGGCTGAAATATGCTGTTTATCTTTCTGATTGTATTCAACCTCCCAAATATAAACAGTGATTTACCTTTCTACATGCAAACTGAATGATGCATTTTATTACAAGGTTTGAAATGCCTGTTCTGATTACTTTTAAAGCCAGCTAGCAAATCGGTGTTTTGCTTTGTTGAAATTTAGAAGAATCTTCACAGTAAGCAATCATCTCTTTATACTAAAAAAACAGAAAAAGACAAATGCTTGTGAGTAATAAGTGAGAGGACTGTGAAGTTGGCTTCTGTTTGCCAACAGAATGTCACTGAGTAGGCAGCCCTTCTAAAAATATCTTTAAAAACAAGACATTTGAATTAATGAGGTACTTGAAGAAGAGAGGCTCTATAGCACACCTACTCAGTATCTTCAGATATTACTCAGGTGACATTTGCTCTAGAGATTGAGGACTGCCGTTGATCTACTCTTTTGACTTCCAGAGTATATGTACAGTATTTAGTGAACAATTCAAAGAGTGATTGATGGTCCAAGAGTTTTTTGCTGTAATGCTATGTGCCCTATGATTTGTAATTTCTGAATTTCTGTCCGTCTGGATTTAGGAGTTTCATTCTAGGCTAAGATAGTATTAGAATTATTTTGAAGTGATTTGATGTGAAATCAAAATATTTCAGAGATGCATGCACAATAGATCTGAAGTAAATTTGTTTTAATTTAAGTCACTGGATTATTCCCTCAAGAAGGAATTTCTGTTCCATGATCACATCACTTCTTTCCAAATCTAAATTAGCCAGAAGATACAATCATACAAACGGATATGTTGACCTCATCTGCAATCTAAATAGAGTGTGCAGACTAAGACTCTTCTCCTAATCACACCAGAAAAAGTACTGACCAAAACCATTGTATACTGAAGATGAGAATGAGTCATCAATAACCAATTGTGGTGGATGTTGTAACTGTCGCTCATTGTATGATTTTGGGAGATATGTTCTTAATTTTTTTTATCTCTCTTGTACAATACACAAGTGACAGTGGTACTTGGAGAGTAAGAAACTCCGACATTTAAGACAGACATCTTCTAGTTCTAACCACAACAAACCATGAAGCTGATCAGGTTTACAGACCAAATTTTTTTTTCCAAGTAATTTGAGTTCTCCCATTCTTTCTTCTCTGTATCTACACTTCCTATAGGCACTGTGCAGAATGTACAGATGCTTGAAAAGGGCAGTGTAAAATGATCTGTCTGACTATGCTATACAGAGAAACTAAGCGAGGGCCAGTGCCTTGCCTTTTAAAGTCAACATCTATGTTCGGTAGGAGCTGCACAAGTATTCCTCTGCCTAGGTCTGGTTTTCCTCATGTATATGGTAAATTTGTACCTGTTGCTTTGGACTGCATGCAGCTGCTGATGGAACCATTTTTCTGAATTTTCTTTCTCTCTCATTTATCACTAGATGGCAGGAGATACACCTCTGAAAAGGATGAACAGTATTACAAGCTTAACCTGGAGGACTTCAGCGCATTTTTAAAAAGTAATTTCTGAAGAAAAACATTTATAATTTACAAGTGTATTACCTGTAGCTATTTCTCTGTTGATTTCTATCATAGCAAAAGCAAAATCTTGAGGAACTGGGTATTTCTAACTCCACAGAATTTACGCTGCAGACGTTGTTTCCTGGTTTGATACGCTGACTTAAATTTAGGAAAAAGTAGATTGAGGTCAGGATTTTTCCAAGTGCTAAGAATGATTTTGTTCCTGTTGCCTTTTACAATTTAAACCAAGCACACAGCACTGCCCTCTCTCCAAAACCACTGGTATTCTAAGAATTCAACTATTTATTGGAGAAAACAAAAAGAACACTGGTGGTCTTTCTGCATAAACAGAGTTGAGAAAAGGCCAGCAGCAGTTTTGTGCACATTCAGAGCCAAAAAGGAAAAAGACTATAGCAGGAAGACATCTGGGGATAAGAAAAAAGGAAAGATGGAGAGTTTCACTTCAAGGTCTTCCTAGAATAGTGATTGTAGAAATATTACCAGAAAATTAGTGGCGGAAACAAAGCTCTAAAGAGAATGGGTTTTCCCAGCAACAGTTCAGCCAACCATAGAGAATGAACACAACTGCAGTTTTAGTGATTTAGATCATGGTGATATTGTTGGAAAGTGTATGGGAACTGCTGAATCACACTTGAACCCGTTTGACCACCTGAGGCAAGCAATCAGTCAGCCACGGGAGCACAGGTGAAGGTAGTTCACCTGTGCTACTGGAAGGCATGGAGCCTGGCTGCACCTCTCCTAGACCCCGTTTAAGTGCTGACTGCCACTGAGGAAGGTCTCTTCTGGAGATTGCTCTCTGTGGAGAATGGTGCAAGCCTATGACATTGGTAAGCATTTTCCATTTATTATGTTCCTGTTGTAGTAATCTTACTTAGCCTAGCTTTCCTGGATATCTCTTAATTCTAACATCTGTATATTCATTGATTATACAGAAAGTTAATGGAAAATAGACCACAAGTAACAAAAAAGCGATTTTATGCATAGGTAAAACCCTTTCCTCACCATTGGGTTGCTGTTGTGGAGAAAAATGCCACAGTTCAGTTAAGCCTTTGAAAAACATTCAAGATTAAGTCAAGGTTAAGCTTTCAATACCCTATTATAGGTCTAGCTAAGCACATACTTTCTATATGAGCAAGAACAATATTCTAGGCTTTTAAAACTGACAGATGTGTATCTACAGCTGCTGTAGTACAGGTACAGGACCCAAACCCAATACCTGAATCCTCAAATAATAGGTCTGAGAATAGATCAGAGAGTAGATCTCATCTTCAGTGCAGCTAGAATGGGTTATGAAAATGAATCATAGATACCAAATTTTGCTTCCTACAGAATATCCAGATAATATATATGACCTTGTGTTGTCTGTTTTTTTTTTTTTTTTTTTCCTTTAACTTTAGGCTGTGTTCAACACCACTGAACATTCTGAAAATCAGAAAATTTAAAGCCCAAAGCATGGGCTTTACTTGGACCAAAACAAAGCTTTCCTTTATTTACTACGAACATCTCATTCTGAGAAACAATAATAAATACTTTAACTGAATGTTAATACTGCAGATGTCACAATGTAAGTCTCTTTAAGGATGTGCATGCTTTATATCATCTTGTTTCAAGATGTAAGTTCATTAAACTTACACTTGAAAGTTAATAAAACTAAATGCTTACTAATACAACTCATCTTGTTTTCTTTCCTTATGTTATATGGAAGATATGACATAAAGGTATATACAAGCTTTTAAATTATTTATAATTTCCTTAGTTGTCTGTGGAAAGCAGAGAAACATAAGCATTTTTTTGGCTCTTAGAGAAGCTCTTTCCAAAACTTGTCACATGTGATGCTGCAATATTCGTCTAACTTCATGAACTGTATTTAGCTTCTCCCTGTGTCCGAGCCTATCACTCTCCTGTACCAGTCTGCCAAAGACAACGAGGTGTCTCCCTGGAGATACAGATGTGACTCTCACAGCAAATGCTATGAATCTTCTACGACATGACACACGGAAATGATTGCATTATCTTTAGAGGTTAGTTCAACACAGATACAATGTGTTTGCCCCTTACTCAAGAAATTGCTAGAAACGTTAACTGTCAGAAGAGCCATCTACCAAATCATATTTCAGATATTTTAATACAACTGAATTTGTAGTGCATACTTTCTTTTCCAGCTTCATTAAAACAGAGTTTAGAAATCTGAGTAGATATTTAAAAGATTTTGTTGCTGCCAATTTCATGAACCTTCCTAAAAACATGCTATATTCTTGCCTGAGATCTAGAAAAACACGAACATCTCAAGAAAGCTGCTTCTGACCTTTCTATACAAATGGTAGATCTTATTATTTACCTATTGAAAAATCAACTTAGTTTCTCACTCATTATATTAACACAGGGCAGCTGCCTCATGCAAAGTTAAATCCATGTACCGCTGTGTAATCCATTTACTTCCATGTGAAGTTAAGAAATTATCCAGGATTATATAGTCTGATGTTGCTGCCTGATAAATAGGCTGTCACAATTCTGCATTCAATGAAGTTTGTTGATGCCACCTATACAATACAGCCATACTCTAGTAAAGCATTTCACTGAACTGAAGGAAACAATGAATGACACTATACAAATACAAGACTATCCCCGAAAGAGACAAAGTCATGGAAGTGGGTGAAGTGCAGAGGGACAAAGCAGGGTATGAGCAAGTCCCTGCATAGTATCACTGGCTTTCATAACTAACTGAAATTGAGTGAAACGCTCCCACCAATTTCACTTGATTGCTTAAAACTGACTGCATCAGAAAGGAAAACTTTTCCTCATTGCTTATCCTAGTACTATAATGCAGAAAAGAGCACATTCAAGATGCCACGTATAGCTCTGAAAATCTCGCTAGTAGCTCCAATTGCAAGGACGGCTCCATGGAAGAAATTATTTCAACAGCCCATATAGAATCATAGAATGGCTAGGGTTGAAAAGGATGACAAGGATCATCTAGTTTCAACCCCCCTGCTGTGTGCAGGGTCACCAACCACCAGACCAGGCTGCCCAGAGCCACATCCAGCATGGCCTTGAATATAAATATGGGCCCATGCCATTCCTAAGGGAGCGAGGCACACGTCATATTAACTCAAATTTTCAAAAAGAAGGGAGCAGTTAAGTATCACCATTTCCTGGGCAGCCAGAGCTTGCCACTGCCTGTACCTCTCCCAGCTTATAGATGAGAGGTCACTTCCCAGCTCTCCCCATTTACATTTACTCTATATCTCTTGCTCTGATGAAGAAGACAGCTGTTAAATGTGCTCATATGCACTTAGAGCAAAGAACAGTTATGTGAAAGTTGCAGAACTGAACAAAGCAGTTCTACAAGACAGATGCTCAGTAAAAAGTAGTTTCAAGCTCTAAAGAAACCCAAGTATTTCTTAAATGAAGGAGAAATGATAAAACCTAGAAGTGACAAAAAGATCTGTCTATACATTTCTACTGAAGACAGAAAAAATAATTTCTGCATAAGATGCATACACACGTGTGTGTGCACATTATGTATATATGTACATGTAATTGGGAAAAAAAAGAAAGATCAATAACAATCTTACTCCTAGAGACAGAACAGCATTCCCCTTAATTCAGAAAAGTCTGGAAAATGGAAATATTTGCTGCCACTCTGAATTTTACAAAGAATAGTGACTAACTAAGCTGTATTAACAATTTGAACGTTATTACTGGACTCTGACAACAATGTGTACCTTTTCCTTAATTATATCTGCAGTAGCATGGACAGTTTCCAAATCACGGCAGACCTGCAGCAACCTCTGATGATGATGATTATATTCACTGCGGTCAGTATTCTCAAGAATTGCCTGTTTCTGCTTTTGACAGTATGTAAATCTTAATAGGCTTCTGAAACAGGCACAAGAGAAAATGTATGCAGTGATGAAGTAAGGCTGGAAGAGCAATATGAAAATGGGGAAGAATAAACACTAAATAGGAACAGCTTCACAATGTAGTTGTTTTCTGTTTCCCCAGTCCTGTTGGGAGAAGCCCTGCACCAGAGAAACGCAGTATTTTCTTTCATCATAACTCTTTATGAAAAAAATGTTTCTGAAGTAGCTACTCTGATTCCGTGTGATTTCTGATCATTTCAAAAGAGCCACTTCTTTCACCATAAGCATTGCTAATAGGTGACAACTACATACAACACTTGCATCAAATGAATTTAGCTTAAATTGATGCTTTTTCCATCTGCTGTGTTGACAGAACAATCCATATGTAGTTGGTGGGCTTTACCTTCATAATCAAAACAATTTGGAGCACTATGTTATTCTTATCAGTTTTACACATCCTATAATGCAGGAAAACAGATGAGCAATTCTTTCTACTCCAAGGCTATCAGCTTGCACTCAGCAATTCAAATATGGTACAGTAAGGCAGCAGAAAGTAAAATTTGCAAACTTGCATCAGGCAACACCCTTTCACCTGCTCAAACCCAAACACAAGCTGTGGGTGCCAAGTGGCACCTTCTGTCTATGAATTTTGATGCTGCATAATAGCTGTGAAAAGACTAATACCCTTTCTAGATTACTTAACGAAGCTTACAGAGGATGGTTTGTCTGCTTTTCCTCAGCTGATACATTAAACACCTAATACTGCATGAATGTGAAATATCATATTTTCCCCCAAGACACAAGAAAAGGTGAAAGCTGTAGCACAAATTAAATTCTGTTGCACATAGACTAATTAGAAGCTGACCCCAGTATTCATGAGGTTTGCCATATGAACAAATTAATAACTATTTAATTCAATATAACAATAAATCCATATCAGGTTTGCTGGACCATCCAGATCAAAGAAGAATACATCTCTTGCACAATAAATCTACTTCAAAGGCAAACATCTGTGCCTTTCGAAACAGAGAACACAACTTCATTCATGTATTTCAAATACATTTCTTCCATACTGGAAGCCTAAATACAAAAGATTTTTTTTTTCCTTTATGGAATAGGAATGCGC